GCTGCATTTGTGGACTACTTGTTAGTGAAAGAAAGTTTTCATTTGTCTTTGGCGTGAACGGCTTGAATGTTTGTGAGTGATAAAAAGCTCAGTCTCGGCCACAATTCTGCCTTTGGGATGGTGGTAACTAAGGAAATGCACTTTTTCTAGGATAAAATTCACTGATGAAAAAGTACATGTAATGTGTATTTTCCACAAAATACATTTTATTGAGGAGAGATAATAAGGCAACGCATATTTAACAAGAAATAAGAGTCAAAACAAAATTTTAAAGTGTACTTAGCTAGACTCACTCATCCATACTTGGATTAATCAGACAATTCAAGGCAGAAGCACTTTTAAAACGACGTGATAAACCTGCGTTGGACTGATATTAAATAGAAGAGGTTAGCAAGAGTATATTTGTTAAGGAGAATATCATAGCAAGGGATGGTTCTCTGTTTTTTACCATGGGATAAGAATGACAACAATAATTTGCTAAATGTTTATTCAGCAATGCCTTGTGTAAAGCACTTTACCTGCATTGTTGCATTCAATAATTGGAAAGAGGGGTGGTCAGTAATGTCCCTTTAAAACATTATAATGGAATTAAAATAAAGAAAACAACTAGCCAGTGTGAGCAGACACACACCTTCAAGCTAGGAGCTAACATCCATCAGCTTGCAATGCTGGGGGGGGGGTGTGCGCGACAGCTTTGTATGCGCTGGATGATTGATGCCCTCTGGTGGCCATTATGGGAATTTACTGATTTAACACAAATTTAAGGCAGTAATGAGCACTAGCACCAGGATGCTTGCTGATGGGAGCCACGTCCTGTCCAGGGATCCTGAAGCCACTGGTGTGTGACCAGTGAAGCCCAGCCATACTTCTTCTCATTAAATTCCCACTGTAGATGAAAGAGATAGTCAGCAAGTGAATTCAGATCCACCGATGGGTTAGGATTCAATGGGGAATGCTTACAAAATGACAAGGGTTGACCATGGGCTGACGTGACCACCATCTGTTTTCCAGTTTCAGCTGTTACATCAAATGGGAGCAAACACTGAAAATTCCTAAATAGATCACTAAAGGGGTAAGCAGACTGTGGTATATTAATTCGATCCATTTACAATTGAAAGCTTCGTTTTGTAATGAACATCACAAATCTACACATTTTTGTGTGTGTGCACATAGGAAATTCCAGGACAGACATCAAATTGTCAATAATCGTAACCACTAGGAATTAAGACGAGGAGGGTGAGAGAATGAAGACTTTTACCATCTCTCATTCATTTGTGTATTAACACAAGCCTGTATATCTTTCATAATAAAATAACCTTAAATAAAATATACAGATAAAAATAAAGAACCAAACATATACTCATCTGAAACATAACATGCCCTGAAAATATGATAAACAGATTAGGGAAATGTTGTAATTTGTTACTTAACATTTAAAAATATATAGCATTATATATTGGTTTGGGCAGAATTTGTATTAATTCCCTTGCCCTTAAGGTAAAATGGAGGAGCTCACTTGACCATCAATCTAAAATATTTTAATTATCTGTTGAGGAGGATAAACCAATGGTAAAAGCAAGGAATCTGGACTCTTCCTTCCAAGTTCCAATTTCCCTATTTCCATATTTGTTGATCTTGTTGAAAATTGTCCTTTTGAAGGCAAATAACGTTTTATAGACCTCACTTATGAGAAGTCACTCTGGTGCCATTTATTTATACCAGGTCTTTTTGTCAAAATATTTAAGATGGTTTTTTGAAATCTACATAGAATACAAAATAACATAAAATAAAAATAGGGATATTTGTCTGGGTAGGAAAAAGAGGCATAAGGAAAAGGGAGCAAATGAAAGGAACATAAACAGAGCCAGGCTGGAACAGCCCACAAGGAGCACTGAGGAAAACGAAGTTCCGTGAGACGTCTGGTGAGGCTGAGTCATAGGATTAGCTTGGAGTTCGCTAGCAATTGAAACAAAGAAGAAACATGGTAAGTTCCAGGAGACGCAGGTCCTTAGGACACAAACTAATCAGTGCTGAAGGAGAAAGAACAGCTATTAAGACAAGAGAAGACTGTCTCTGCCTGACTGGCTTCTAGATCAACCTAAGACGTTATTCGTCCACTGCAGCAGAAGACGGGAGACAAGTGCTGAAACTCTCCTTTACCCTGGGCTTCAGTCTTTAATGCCCCAGAAGTTTTCATCGTCCGTGTTTAGTTGTCTCCATTTTCTGTCTGCCCAGATCTCGACCTCGACCTCAGCCTCTGCTTCCAGGCGGAGTGTGCTGACTGGAACGGCTCTATAAAATCCTTTCATATTCACACACTAGTGATTAATAATATAATCATGCCCCTCTGCCCACTTAGGGCATTTGCATTTATTTTTTCCTCCTAAAATGGCAGCTGGGCAGATGGGTGTCATTATTCATTTTTTATAACAATTATTCCATTTCACTTGGTTAGCATCCTCTCTGACTCCTCACAGTATTTATAAATTCTCCTCTGGTGGTGGAGATCACAAGCGAACCCTAGCTGATTAAATTATGTCAACTTTATTTAATGTGTCCTGGTGCCATCTTCCACGTATTTTATTCTAGGATTGTTTATTTTCTTGCAGCCGTCGCCCACTGATCTTCCATGGTAGGGTCTACCATGACCCCATCGTCTTTTAAATCAGTCTTGAAACGAGTCCATTCATTCCCACAGGCTGTGTGTGTCATCCCCCCAGGGCCTCCTCCACTTTAAGTGTTCATCCAGCATCCAAGTTCACACGTAAAAACACATGGCGCAATGACAGACTGTGATGTCCTAACCCAGGGCAATAAATGGACTATTCATCTCACCAGCGTCTTGGCCTCCAAAGGAGACTTGAAAGGAAAATAAACAGAGTTGTGAGTTGGTGTAGGTGGAGCCCTCCACATTTCCTTCCCCAGACAGCACAAGAAAATTAGGCCAAGTGCCCAAAGGGTAGGCACGGACATTCTTTGCATCTACAGCTTTCCTGTGCATGATACAGGAAAGTGGTGCTGAGCCCATCAAGTGTCACATACTGGGTCGTGGATGGGCCAACTCAAAGACTAGATATTCCCTCTAGGACCAGTGTTCTCTCTGGTTCTTTTTGGTCATGAGTGCACGATCAAGGTCTAAAAGCAGCAAACTTTACAAAGCGGGCACTGTACACGGACCAAGATCCCTGAGGGCCTTGGGGAGGAATCAACGCTGCTCGTTGCCCAGAAACCTTCTCCTGGTCCTACACTGGCCCATCTGATGCAGCCTCAGCTCTGCTGTGTCCCCTCCTGTCCCAAATGCAGAGTACTCAGTGAGGACAAGTTGCCACTCCTCCTCTAGGGACCGGCCATCCAGTAGCTGGTTGTTCCTCACCAGGAACAGAGCCGTATTATGTTACAAGTTTTCTGACCAAGGAGGTGGCAATTGTGTAATTAGCCTTAAAGAGAGGAAGTTCAAATTGTAGACACTGCCTCTGACATCATCAGTTATTATGCACATGTTGATAAGTGGGTATCTACGTGTTCTCCCTACCCTACTGTTTTGGTAAATTTCTCTTTCAAATATTTTACTTAATATAATTTGCTTCTAGTTGATTGGAAGCATAGAGGTTTGCAACGAATTACCTTTACGGTGGACTGATCTGTTGTCAATATAAAATGACCTTCTTTGAGCCATATAATAATACTGTGTGCCATGAAATGTCTTTTTCTGAGATTATGATTGCTACCTTTGCTTGCTTTTAGTTGGTATTTGATTGAAAAGCCTGCCTCTACCTTGCTTTTTAACATTTAAACAATTTATATTGGAGTACAGCATACATACAGAAATGAGAATGTATAACTTAACGAATCTGCCACAGTGAGCACCCTGGTGGAACCAGTTCCCAGGTCAAGAAGTGAAACCTGCCTCCCAGAGGTTTCCCTCAGCCATCCCAGGCTGGTCCCTGTCACAACCCCACACCAGAGATAAACACCAATCTGGCTCTTTACACCAAAGATCGGCTTTACCTGTTTTTGCACCTTGGTAAGTTCATAAGTATTAACTTCGTTTCAGTCACATCTTTGGCATCAAGTCTGTTGCAGCTCTCCCTGAGTCTTGCTGAACTTTATGGGTTAGAATTTCTGTGTGTTATAGGTTGAAAGTTGTTTCTGCCTCCGTAACTGTCACTTTTCATTGGCTTCATCATTTTGTCCTTCCTCCTGATCCTTCAGGGGATTTCTTCACCTCCGTGATTTGTGGTACTAAAACATCATCTTTACTCTTGACCATTTTACTGTTAACTCTTAGTCTCTGAGCTGGGATTCAGACTGCGAGGGAGGCAGGAAAGCCTATTTCTACTTCTGTTTGGTCTGGCCGCTTGGTTCTGTGTGGCTAGCAATCTCTCTGGGTTGAAAGGGCTGGTGTTTTCAGTCCAGCTCCATACTCCTCATAAGTTAATGGAAAATTTTCCCTGGTTATGGCAATAAATGGACTCTTAGTTTTGTTTTTTTGTGCTGTGAGATTTCATATTGTCTGTTAAGTAGGACAGACGCTAACACAGCATTAAGAGAGACTTCCTCTGTTACTGACAGCCAGAGGTGCCAGAACTTCTCCCTCCAACATTGTACATACTACATCTTTCTAATGTGCTTCTCCACAAATATATTTTAAAATAGTAATTAAAAACTGTCAATTTAGAGGTTTCATGTTTCAGCCATTGTTCAACCTTGGATCCTCATTAATTCTTTATAAATCATTCAGTGTCGTTCACTCACCCTGGTAATAGTCTCCTTTATGAGCCAGAGACTTGACTCTTCCACTGGCTGGATGTTCATGTAAAAGTCACTCACCCACTGATGGTCTTGATTTCCTCAATTCAGACAATGAGGAGATTGAATTAAACTGATCTCCAAGATGACTTACAATTTGAAATCCCATGTTTAGATGAAATGTCATACAGTCATTGTTTTTTTATAATTACGCTAAAAATAGTCACAAAACGAAACCAGCTTGCAGAAATCACAGTTCTTGGCATTAACAGCCTTTCCTTCCTAACTTCTATTAGTTCACTTCTGCCCCGAAACCACTGGCGTTGTGGCGTTAAAGTGCTTCTTCGTATCCGAAGTGTGCCTGCTCTGCTTCTCTTCACTGCTCGTGATGGTAGAGTTAAGGCAGCTGCCCTGGAAACACTTATTAACAAGATGTTTGAAATTGCCACCTCCCAAGGCCTCTGCAGAAATAGTGCGTGGCTAACGTATTAATCCACGCTTTAGGGACAAGCAAGACCCAGCAGTGGGGGTAAAAGGAATCCTCTGAATTCTCTGAAAAGATAAAAGATATTAAGGAGCCATCAATGATGCTAGAAAACATAAAGTTATAACCTGTCACCTCTTTCATGTACACACGTCATACTGTTTTTCCCACTGTTCTACCCGAGAAGGAAGATGTTTCTGTGTAGTGTTTTTGTTTGCTTATTTAAGCCCAAATCAGTCCCTTTTGTATAGAATACCATGCTAAGAATAATCTGATGGGTCAACGAATAATCACAGAAAGCCAGGATATCCTTATACAAATGGAAGAAAATAAACCTCCAGTCTGAATATTTTATCTCCACGCTGCTGAGCCCGGGCACCCTGCGGCATGATTGGTTTTCCTGTTTCTGTTTGACTGTTTGGAGCCGCGTGTGTGGAACCTGCATATGAGTCACGTGCAAGATGGCACTGGGATGGTAGCATATTTCTTTCACTGTTTAAACAACTTCCTATGAAATAAAGTAATTGTTTTAAGTTCAAAGACTTTTTGGTAAGGATTTTAAAGTGTGGCCACCAAAGAGAGTTTTGGAATTCACCATGGGAGTGATTTTAGCATCAAAGACATTGTTTCCAGCCTGTAAAACACCACTTTTACCCAGAACGAAGCAGAGTTTAATCCCTGGGAAAGCAGGGCTAGCACAGACCTGTAGTATTTTAGTACCAGAGATTCTTGGAAGTGACCTGGAAGATATATCAAAAGGTTCTACCCGTGAATTCAGAGGAAGGCGAGATGAAATGTGTCCAGCACGCTGGCCAGGCTGCAGTCGCCTTGCATCCTAAATGAGAGGCAGGTGTTGCTGTGGAACCAGGTGAGACAGTGATCATAAAACACGCACCTATCTGCTCAGATATTGCAGGGAACGCGACCGCTTACATCAAAGGCGGTGGTGAGGTTTGCAGTGATCCTCAGCCAGGCTGTGCAGACATGCATGGGTCAGAACATTTTTAAAACAAAAAAAATTGGTGAGGCAACGTTTCAAACTAGAGGCCTCTGTTTTGAGGTTCTTTTTCAAAGTAAATCAAAATTTAAGGCAATATAAAAATACCAAAAAATGTAACATCAAAGGAGAAGTAGTGCAGCACATATTTAAAGTCTGTCAGCAGCAAGAGTTGTCCCCTCTTAACAAAACACTGTCGAGTTTTTGCATCAGAGGGAATTTTAGAGATTATCTAGTCCAACCTCTGTGTTGCATTCATTTAGCCCCCAAACATTTATAGAATCACTGTTACTCTGCACCAGACAGAAGAGAAAACAGAGGCCTGGAGGAGTTAAGTGGCTTTAACAATGTCACATAAAATCTAAGAGTTATCTGTGTGGGTAACAAATTACCCACAAATTCAACAGCCTAAAACAACTTATTATCTTGCAATTTCTATGCATCTGGAATCCTGCACAGTGTAGCTAGGCCTTCGGCTTCAGGATCTCCTCGTATGTCTGCAGTCAAGGTATCAGTCAGGGCCAGGGTCTCAGCTGAAAGCTTGCATGGGGAGGAGTCCCCTTCCTAAACTCATTTATATAGTTGTTGGCAGAATTTAGATCCTTGAGACTGTCGGACTGAGAACTTCAGTTTCTCACTGGTTGTTGGCTGGATGTTTCCTCTAATCTCTTGCCACATGAACCTCTTCAAGGTGCAGTTTGCTCTGGCAAAACCAGGAAGACAGTACATCTGCTAGCAAAAGGGAAGTCATAATCTTTTGTGACCAATCACAAAGTGACCTTGTATTCAGTATAGTAGTCATGATCCAAGGTGCTCTGTTCCTCACTCCCCACTTCAATCCACTTATATTAGAGTGGCCATATAACTTACTATCTGAATCAGGATAGTTTCAATAGTGTGAGGGTATGGTACAACATTAGAAATGATGAACCAGGATGAACTATGATCACCCCTGGTAAACCTGGCCATAGAGCCACCTGACTTATGTCCACAATGGAAGAACCACTGTTCTCCAATTTGGAAACTCAGAGCTTGTGTGGTGAGGAAGGAAAGAGAGACGTGGAACCAACGTCGACCATCCTTGGGGTTGCAAATCTGCTGCCAGGCAACCTCCCATCCCGCATGTGAGTTGGCTTCTCTGAGAGTCTTTCCATGAAATTCAGGGCCTCTAGAAGAGATTCTTAATACTCTTCTACTGCCTCCCCACATTGTCACTTCTCATTCTTCTCTCTGTTAATTGAATGAACAAATACAAGATGCACCTTGCCTCTTTCATGGTTTTGCAATGGCTCTGTTGTTCTTTAGCCATTTTATATCATTTTATTTTTAATATTTCCAAATGCAGTTAATGCAGGATAGATGGCCAGGTTTGCTGATGATTGATGTTTGGATGAACAAGTCATTTCTTGATATAATACTAACAACAGATTTTCAGTGGAAAATTATAGTCCGGTGTTTCATCAGATGCTTACTTAAGAATGAAAATCTGTAACACCACTGTCTGTTAGTGGTCAATTCCTCGTCCTCTTTTAACATGCCATATGTTTCCAAGTTAAATTCATAGAACTGGATTAAGTTGATTAATTAAAGCAAACATCTGCAAATACTTGTTGAAACTCATGGAAATACTGCCTTCAAAGCAAGCACTTTCTTGGTAAAAATCTCTGTCAGAATGAATACTTTCACTGAGAAACAAAAGCTGGTAAAACATTTACGTTGTTTGAATCGATATATTTATTACTTTAAACAGAGTTATAAACATGGAAATCATTCCTTTAATGCCCAGGGCATCAATTAAAAGTGAGATCAGACAGAGAAAGACAAATGCTATATGATCTCACTTAAATGTGGGCTCTAAAAAAACAAAAAACCCACAAAAGCCCATCCTCATAGATACAGAGAACAGATTGGTTTTGCCAGAGGTGGGGGTAGGGGTCAGGCAAAATGGGTGAAGGTGGTCAAAAGCGCAAACTTCCGGTTATAAGATAAATAAATCCTGGCGATGTAATATACAGCAAGTTGACTATAGTTTTAAAAATTGAGGTCTAGGACAATTTCTCCTGTGAAAGACTTCCAGGAGTACAGTATGTATGACTGAACTTGTCCTTTGGTGGCTTCTTAGAGGACAACGCTCCCCCCATGTCTAGGCTGTCCATCGGGGGTCCTGTATTGTTTTCCAGACACTTAAAGCAAGAGAACCATGGCAGTGTTCCCAATTCCACCGTCGGCCCCCCCGACTATGTCTGCACTTTTCCTTGAATATATATACATAAAGTGATATGATATGATATGATATGATATGATATGATATGATATGATAAAATCTATCAAACTTTACGAAATCATACAGTTAAACTCACATTACAGTCCTATTCTCTGGGGCAACCATTAATTTCTGATATAATCTTCCAGAACTTTTCTATGTATAAGCGAGCCTATAACCATTTGCGTATATGTTTCTTTTTTCTTTCTTTTTTTACACAAAGGGGAGAGTATTATCACACTTAAAAAAACAAACCCAAACTTAACACTATACTTTGAAGTTGTCTCCAAGTCAGTCTGTACTTGTCAACCTGCCTCATTGCATCTGGCATGGCCCCAGGTATCTCACTAATGGACGCACTGTATGTAATGTAGCCAGTCCTAAAGTTTAGAGTGTTTTCTATTTCAAAAACTTGCTATATATCTATTTATTAACCCTTAGACGCGGAGTTGCTGGAGCAAAGGATATACACCTTTTTTATTCTAAATATTGCCAAGCTGGTTAAGTCTATTTATGTTCAAACTATCTCCAAATACACAGCCAACTCACACTTCCATCCACAGAGAGTAAACATGCCATTTCCCTGTATCTTTAACTTGTGTCACCAAACTAGCTCATCACTGCTTATCTCACAGGTGAAAAGCATATTCCTTTTCTGATTTGTTTTGCTTTAATTATGATTATGGTCAAGTATCTTTGATTATGGTCAAATATCTGCATTCCACTTACAGTTCATTTTCTGTGAACAGCATGCTTTCAGATCACTTGCCCATTTTTCTATCAGATTGTTGGTTTCCCGAACTCTGAAATTTGAAAAGTTCCACTAGCTTTGGGTGGAGTTTTTATGCAGATGCATTCCAAATTTATATAGCTATATTACCAAATCCTGGATCAAGGGTTCTTGGGAGCAGTCTAACCACCATAATGTTCTTATATGCGATTTTTATTACCCTTTAGCTGCTATGGCTTTGGGCTTTAAAAAATACACAAGGCCTGTCTTTTACAGAATGGATTTCAATTTTTAATGTCAGCTCTTAAGAAGGCCTCACTCCTATCTTTCTCTTAATGATGTTCTGGCACTCAGTGTCAGCAAACGGCATTTTGTTTCCATGAAAGCATTAACTCTCTCTGGTCCTGGTTTTCATTGGCTTTCTCTGGATTGCTGTCAAATACTGCGGTATCGATGAAAGTAATTCAGTGCGTCACTTTGAAGTGTTAAAGTTGACGGTCACTTAGAGAGGCTGATTTTCTTTGGCCATTGTGGGACGGGGCACGTGGGTTTGTCTTGATCTCGCTAATGCAGCTCTTTTTGCACAGAGAGGCTATGCAAATAGAATATGTTTATCCATGCTTTTGATTTATGTATTTTCTAAAAGGTCATGATTTACATGCTGGTTCTCTATCTTTCCTAATGTTGCTTTCTGAGAAATGCAAAACCTGTGGGGAGGAAGAACTGTATTCCAGGATCTGACTTTTGAGAGATTTTCAAATGTAACTCCCATTAGTATCCCTGGAGGCGGGGCTCCCCAGTCCTTCCTACCTCAGCCAAATGCCTGGAGGGTAATGGATTATCTGCCTCTCAGCAGACTCCATGGGAGATACTCTCAATGGTTTATGCATTCTGGCCGGAAAATACTCCCTGCAGACATGTGGGGAGATTTCTTCCTGTGTTCTCCCTCAGAGGTCCGCTGGGATTGAATCTGGCTCACGAAGTGTAAACCCCACGTACTGTAAAAGGAAGATCAAGGGCAGCGCTGGCACTAAGTGGTTGTTCAAAAGTTTCCAACTGTTCTAACTTTTCAAAAACAGAGAGTGAGTTCTTGTTGCTTCAGCCTTAGGGAATACTTGAAGAAGGTGTCTTTAAACACCCACTCAAAATGCCCAGATTTTTAGGAGGAGGAAAGAGAACTATAATAGGAACAAAGCTATTGGTTTCACATTTGGATATGAAAACAGAAAGGCAGGAAAATAAAATAAAACACAAAATCTTCCAGAGCAGACTTTTATGTTTGTCTGTGCAAAAGCCATTTTCAAATTGAAAGCCAAACAACGGGGAACCGAAAAATGATGTGGTAGCTCCAAGATATTTCCTTGACATGTAATTGTATTGCGTTAGAGCTTAGGTATCTGTAACATCTTTTGTGATGAAGCAAGGGGTAAGCTTACTAAATGAATAATGCACTTTTGGAAAATCAGCAAGAAAATCTT